CCCTGGGGCCCCAGGGAATATTAACTTACGAAGCTTTCCTTCTCCTGCTTTTACATGTCTGAAACTATTTTAAAACTTAGTGACTGAAATACAAGTTATTAAATACACTTTACTAGAATATAAAAAGTGCTTTTGTCCCCTTCTCCTCTTTGGAGAAAAGCTGGTTGGGAATGTACTTATAAGACTTCTGGCATGGCTCTTCTGAACATCTACATCGACACATAGCCCAAGATCATAAAAGGAATAAACTAGGCATCAAGATGAGTTCAGCTAAGGTTAGAGCCTACATGCAATTTCAATGCTGCCCTAGGATTTTTATTTATTTTATTTTATTTTTTAAAAGATTTTATTTACTTGAAAGAGAGAGAGAACAGGAGCCGGATGAGGGGCTGAGGGAGAAGCAGACTCCCCACTGAGCAGGGAGCCCAATGTGGGGCTCGACCCTGGGACTCATGACCTTTGCTGAAGACAGACACTTGACTGAGCCACCCAGGCTCCCGTGCCCTAGGACTTTTAAAAACCATTTTGTTTTAGGGACTCCTGGGTCGCTCAGTTGGTTAAGCTTCAGACTCTTGGTTTCCGCTCAGGTAGTGATCTCAGGGTCACGAGATCGAGCCCCACATTGGGCTCCACAGCCTGGGTCAGGCTCTACACCCCATGTGGGGCTCCACGCTCAGCATGGAGTCTGCTTGAGACTCTGTCTCTCCCTCTCTCTGCCCCTTCCCCCTACCCTCTAAAATAAATAAATACATTTTTTTAAAAAAACCCATTTTTATGACTACTAGTTGAGCGGAGATACCAGGTATGAGCTGAAGTAGGAAAGTGGGATTCCTTGGTTTCTGATTATCAGAGCCTCCTAACATTGCAAAGATGTCCTTGTCCCCTTCTTTCTGGCTGGGCTCTATCCCCAAGGAATCAGGTACCTGATGGAATGGGGGACTGAATTCCTGAAGCCTCTTGGAGGGTATGAATTGTTAGCCCCTTCTATGCCTGCCCAAGTGTGGCTCAGTGCAGATGGGCCCATTCCTCTCTGTGTGTGTTCCCCTCCCTGGGCATGGGGGCAGACATTGCCTGGGTAGAGTCACCAGAGGCTGGGAAGTGTCTCCAGCAGCTGGAAAAGGTTTGAGTCTCTTTGGCAGATGTTTGCTGTTCCAGCCGCTTCATTAATGTTGGAAACTAAACCCCTGACCATTCTTGACAAAAGCCCCACTTCGTGATTGACAGCCAGGGTGTGCTTCCTCCCACCGAAGCCCTTTACAGAGAAGGAGAGAGGGAGTGAAAAGAGAAAAATGGAAGCAAAATGGGAATTGGGCTAGGTGCCATTGCTAAAAACCCAAAAATACCGAGGAAAGAGAGTGGCAAAGGCTCATGTGAGGAGAAAGACAAATTCAGAACAACAAATTAAGATTTGAAGTCTCGTCCTGTGCTTGGGTCTTTTACGCATATTACGTAATGATCCCAGCTTTCATGCATTCATTTCTTTTAAAAGATTTTATTTATTTATTTATTTTAGAGGCAGGGGAGGGGCAGAGGGAGAGGGAGGGAGAGTCTCAAGCGGACTGGGAGCTGAGCGTGGAGCCCCACTTGGGGCTCCATCTCACCCCTGAAATCATGACCTGAGCCCAAACCAAGAGCCCAACACTTACTCGACTGCACCACCCAAGCTCCCCTCTGCATTCATTTATTTATGACACACTTACTGAGAACCTGCGGTGTGCCAGGTGCTGTGCTGGAGAACACACCGGGAGTTTATTTCACCAGTGGGTGAAATAAACATGCAAAAGATAGTGCAGCAGAGGTAGGAATCAACAGCATTGGGGAGTGGGGAATCCCTTCTCAGAGGAGGTGACATTTGAGATGGGTCTTGAACTAGTTTTTCAGGGCAATGAAGGAGGGAGGGACTGGGCTGTGGAGGGCATTCCCGTAAGGGGAACAGCTTGTGTGAAGGTATGAATTATGAAAGGCCAACCTTGTGAAGTAGGTAGGTATTACCATTGCCACTTATAAATGAAAAAACTGAGGCTCAGCTTTGATTATAAGCGACAGAGAGCTGGAGGCCGCAGATTCCACGATCTGGAATCTCTCTCTCCCCTACGCCTGGGACGTGTGCCCTCAGACCCCCTTTAAGAGGTCTTGCCTCTGTGGCAGAAAATCGAGAAGCTGGAAGATCCAAGGAGTTGAATCGAAATTCTTTAGCTATTTTAAACACGGCAGATTTCCAATCAAAGGACAGTCTGGGGGAGAGTGTGAGCAAATTTTGTGCCTGTGGTCAAGAATCCGAGCGGGGAGCAGAGGCGAGGCCGATTCCCGCCGGGCACGGTCACCCGGGCTTTCGGCGCTGTCCCCGCCGCGCGCTGCCGGCAGCCTCCCGTGTGGCAGCGCCGCAACGCAAGGACTCGAGAGCGCGGCTGCAGATCCGGGTTTGGAGAGAGGGAAGGAAGAGACGAAGAGAAGGGGCAAGGAAGGGAAGAGAAGGGCAGAAAGAAAAAGAGAAACCAGGATGGAAGATGGGGGTGAAGAAGAGAAGGGAGGGCAGAAGAGAAAAGAGAAGGGGACGTCCCACAGGGGAGGGGAGGCCGAAGTGCTGGGAAGAGTGGGGGGAAAGGGAGGAATGGGAGGAAAGGGGGGATGGAGTCAAGGCAGTTAAAGGAACAGAGAGGGTGAGACGGGGCGCGGAGGGGGGCGAGGGGAATAAGCCTGGAAAGGGAGAAAAGAGGCTGCAGTGGGGAAAGGCCGGGCAAAGACAGGGCCCAGAAGAGTAACTCGGAGTAAGCGCGTCCCGTAAGCGCCCGGCAGGACCGGACAAACAGTCCACACCGGTAAAGCTCAGTCCCTCGCCCGGGTCGCCGGGTTTGAGGAGAGGCTGTCGCTCAGGTGCTGCGCCCCAAGCTTTGAGCACGCCTAGCGGCCCCCGCTCCCCGTGGGGTCGCCCCCACGCCGCGGGCTCTCGAATCCCACCAAACACTCCCTTTCTCGGCGCCTGTCAACAGCTCTGCGCTTGCCAGGGGCAAAATATAACCCCCCACCCAAGATTGTCCTCGGAGCGAGCGTCGCGCCCTTGGGACTCGTCTCCGGCTCGTGGCGCCGCTGGTCCCCGCTGCGCCCGCGGCCTGGAGAACCCCTCGGGGCTGGCACCCGGCGGCGGGGCCCCGGCTGAGCCGGGAGTGGTCCTTCCCCGCCCCCGCCGGACAGCGGACAGGCGGCGGGGACTGCTGGTCACCAGAGCCCGGGGCGCTCCCGGGCCCATGGCGGCGACCTGGCGTCCTCGCGGCGGGACGCGCGCCGCCGCCGGGACACCTGGCCGCAGTGTTCGCAGGCCCCGGAGCCGCTGCGCGTGGAGGAGAATGAACGAAAACAATTCTAAACGGAGAGGAGGGGAGGAGTAGGGAGCCCTGGCACACGTGAACACATCCAGAATGAAGATCCTCAAAGTCGCCCTGCGAGCCATGTCTAATACCGGGCTCTAATTCGGCTGACTGCTATTTTCTCTTAAATGCCTAGTTATTAGCCCTCCAGGTGTGTCCCTTCCGTCCGACTTGAACCACCAGCCCAGGGGCGCGCGTCCGCTTGCTACCGCGGCGACTCGGGCTTCTGGGCGAGCAGCTCTGCAGCGAGCCCGCCGCGACTCCGGGCCGCTTCCAGGTTTCCAGCGAGATGTCACCAGCCCCAAACTCGGTTTCGGAGAAGGCCATCCGCGTCTATAATTCTGTCTCTCTCTCGTGTGTTTTCCTTCCAACCCCACGCACACCAGTTCGGAGACAAAATCGTGGGAAATTGGTGCCACCGGGCGGTTGTGGCCGGCCGCCGGGCGGGGTGACAGGACGCAGGCAGCGGGAGCCGTCCCGGGCGCCGAGACTGGGTGGGGGTCCCCCTCGGCCACCAATTCCAATCGAACACAAGTTCGTACAGATACTGATTGGAACAGACTCGGAGGTTAGGAGCCCAGGAGAGGGGAGGCAAGCCCACCCAATAAGCGTGTGGCTTCGGGACTCCCCGAACCCTAAGCGTCCTGAGGGACCCGGGAACGAAAGCCGCACTGCCCGGAGCATCGGGCGGCCAGGATCCGCGAGTGGGGCTGAGGGCCGGCAGGCACCGCGGGATCGCGCTGCGCTTGCCTTTACGGCGGCGAAAACAGTTCATAAACGTTAAAACATAAAAAAAGAACGCACGCTTTTGGGGGATTACTTTCTCATTTTTACAATTTATTATTGGGATAACGGTCAGGGCAAGGGTCATTTCTGATTTGGGATCTCGTGAGGGCGGTCAAGCGTGCGGCTCCGCGCGAGCCGAGAACCTAGTGAATTGCAGGGGAGGCCGCGGGTCCTTGGGAAACCGGGGAGAAAGACACACGGGTCTTTGGGGCGCCGGCTCTGTGGCCCGCAGCCTCGGGAGCCTCCGCAAGGACTCGACTTCCTTCTAGCAAGAGACCTAGACGCGCCTGCTCCCCGGGTTGCGGGTTGTGCGCTGCGCGCACGGGACCCAGCCCAGGAGGCGCACGGGGTCGCGTCCCGGAGGAGCGGCCCAGACCCGGCCCGCGAGCGGGGGCGGCGCGCGCTCCCCGCACCGCGCGCACACCCGAGCGCGCACACTCGGCACACACACCTGGAGTTCGTCCCAGGAGGGGGGCGGGGAGGAGAGCCAAAGCGAGTGTCTTAAAATAGAGAGGCTGGCAGAGGAGCGCGAGACACCGCGAGGCGGGAGGAGGCGAACGAGAGAGGCGGGCACGAGGTGTGCAGGTCCGCGGCCGGCTTGCACCGGCGGGCTGGGCGGGGTGGGCGCCGACGCCCCTCGGCGCGCCTCGGCACCCGGCCCCGCAGGAAGCGCGCGCTGATTGACAGCTGCGCCGTCCCAAAAAGGCCCCGCGAAGATGCTGATCCGCGGGTGGGTCTAGACGCGCGTCCGGCGCGTCCGGTGCCCGCTCCCGTCTGCGCGCCTCCCGAGCCCGCCGCCTCCCCGGCGGCCGAGGAGCGGGGCTGAGGCCCCCGCCGGCGCGCCAGCCCCGGCGGCCCCGGCCGGCCGGCGCTCTCCCCGGCTCACCATGCACTGCCACGCGGAGCTGCGGCTGAGCTCGCCCGGCCAACTCAAAGCAGCCAGGCGGCGCTACAAGACTTTCATGATCGACGAGATCCTTTCCAAGGAGACCTGCGACTACTTTGAGAAACTTTCCCTCTACTCCGTGTGCCCGTCGCTGGTCGTGCGACCCAAGCCCCTGCATTCCTGTACCGGTAAGGCGCCCCGCCGGGGGTGGGGTGGGGGAATTAGTGGGGGGCCGTGGCTTTCGCGCGGGTGTCGGGCGCCTTCCCGCCTCCGTCCTCCCACCGGAGGGCGGGGGGATTCTTCCCGGTGCCCGTGCCATGGGGGACCAGACTCGTCAGCGGCGGGCATCCGAAGGGCGGCCGCGATCTGGGACGGGCCAGGCAAGGTGTGGATCGCAAGGCTGGCGGTGGAGCGGAGGCAGCGGGCCCCTCGGAGCGGCCGCTCGGGCCACGCCGGCGATCCCGCTCGCGGGAGAAAGCTTCCTCCTTCCCGGCGCCGCTGTCGTTTTCGGTCAGAAAGTTCAAACACTTGACCCGGTTCGGCGCCTAACTCACTGTTTCAGGAAATGGTGTTGCTGCTCCCCTTGAGTTAACTTGTCCAACCTCCTCTTGTCTCCACTGGGAATTTTACAAGTCAATCAGTGTCCTGAGGTTCTCAACAAAATCCAGAAATCATTGAACTTTACTTAAAAAAATCTCCCTTTGGGGCAGTAGTTCTGGAATCCATCCCCTGTGGTGCAAGCTGAGGAGGTGACCCTTTTGTTTTAAGGGACTGAAAAAACAACAGTTATAACAATAAAAACATTCTTCACGTCTGGTTTCCTCTATCCACAAGAGCCTAACTAAGATCACTAGGAAAGATAAAGAACATTTAATAAACACGTTGAAAAAGTCGTAGGTTTATATGGAAAGTAAATCCGAAGGTATTTTTAAAAACTTTGAGTGCATTAAGAGAAGCTCCAAGTTTCAAAGTGCCCTGGCTTTATAAGGATTTAGGCTATCGAAAAGCAGGTATAAAAGAAAAAAAAAAGTTAAAGCAGTTTTTATCAAAAATAAGTGTGTGTGCTTTCAACTAAAGGTGAAAATTTAGTATTTCCCAACTAGAAGAAACTTTGAGGTTATGTTTGTTGCATGGGTGTCCTGAAATAAGTAATTTTGTTATACTTCCACTGAAAAAGTAAAGTGAAGAGCTAGCAGTGTTCTTAAAAGACATTTTTTTTTTTGGACCTTTCAGGCCAGAAGCTTCTAGTGCACAATGCTTAGAGTCCTATATTTTCTTTTGATTTGATGGGTTGTCCCTGTAGAACGATCAGTTAATATATGTAAATACAGCAAAGTTCTTTGAAAACCAAGTTGTTTCCACATGTATTTGGTTATGAAATGAGTACAGTATTCAGGTATGCCTTTGTAAAATAAATTTTATCCATAAGATAGAATTAGCCTTGATAGCTCATAGCAGGACTTGCAATACTAAATTTTAAGGGCCAAGAAGTATATGAGACAAGAAACTTTAGAAATAAGCTAGATATGCTTGATGTTTATATTTTTACATTTACGTGTCTGCCATGCACATGTAAACCCTTGAATGAATAGTCTACATATATATTAAATAGGAGAGGTAGGCTAAGTTTTGTATTGAGCATAAATCATCACTTGCTATAATAACTCAAACCTCTTTGAGGAAAAAAAAAAAGATTTAATCACAAATTTCGATGCACCCTGCTACAACATCGCATGACCCTAGGACAAAACAGAATAATTCTGAACACTGAGGTATAGCACAGGGCCGGCAAAATTTTTAGTGACTTTGTGCTCTGCATTGACCCAAACGCGGATTTTCCTGGCTTTTAGCAGTCACGGAATTGGATCATAGTAAAAACATGCTAAAAAAAAAAAAAAAAGGTAATAAATAACCTCAGAAAACCGTGATCCAGTCATCAATAGGAGCTGAGTAAGTTCTGTTTCACTGAGTCTTGTATGGAAATAAGTCAGAGGAAAATAAGATGATTCATATGTAGTTTTGAGAATGTTAAGGGTGAATTGCACGTGTATCACGAACTAAAGGTTTTGCTTGGTCTTGTGCTTTTGAAGTTCCTTGATGGTTTGTGTGAAAGGCTGGTTCTTGGTAATGGTTTTCTTGCCCTGTCATTCCAGTGTTTACTTTCTTTAGATTGTTCTTTTGAAAAATGTCGTGATTTTGTGGTAGTTGAGATTTAAAATATAGAGACTGGGATTTGCCAGTGGAATTAAACCCATAAAAACTGGCTACAGTAGTCCATACTCTCAGGTCATAAGCCTTTAGTGGGTTTACGATTACAGTTAAAGCCTAACATATATTAGATCATGGGAATCCCATTAGTGACTTCTCAAGGGTTTTGCAAATACCACACTTTCAAAGCATTTTTGTTGTTTTTAACGGTTATGTTCAAGATCAAAAATCTTAGACTGGATAAATTTTATCTTTTTTATTAATTAAAAATGGCATTAAGTTGCTGACATTCTAATATATATTTATGTGTGTATATATATATTTTCTGGATAGAGATAAATATTTAGCACTTTTGGTAGAAACGATGTATAAAAAGTTCAAATCAAGTGAAAGGCATACATTGGAATTAAAATTACTGAACTTTCTCTCATCCTTCGGTTTGCCATTTTTAAGATTTAAATAACTACCAAAAGTGAATTTTGCCAGGTAAAATATGAAATAAGATTTTAAAAAAAAGTTACCACCCTGCACAATAAGTATATAAATTTGGGGTGGAAAAAAAGCTACAGCATTTAAGAAGCCTCTACATAATTAAGCAGTCCACATTGTTTAGATTTAGTAATCCAAATGCCAATTTATGGTACTAAATCTCCTCAGGCAGAAGATCATGTATTCAAGTAAATTGAGAAATGGAAACATTTTTCATTAGGCAGATCATCACCTGACAGTAATTTATTATTAGACACTCTAACCTTGATGGAATACTCCCCTCCAAAAAAAATTGTTTGTTTTAACAGGCCCTTTCTTACTACAAATACAGTAATTTTAGGCTTAGCAGGCTGTCTCTAAATTTATTTAAGTTTCCCAAGAGATGTTCTACATCACATAATAGACAGTGAGAAAGGGAATCCTAGCCTTTGAAGCCAAACTGAAGGAACATTTGTCATTAGATTTAAAATAAAATTTAAAACACCGAGCCCAAAGAGAGCCTCCATTTGAAAAAAAGTTTGTTACTTGGACCACTGATGAGGTGTGAAATATGTTTAGGATTATTTTAAAATCTGGTAACAGGGGTGCCTGGGTGGCTCAGTCGGTGAAGCGTCTGCCTTTCGCTAGGGTCGTGATCCCAGGGTCCTGGGATCAAGTCCCACATTGGGCTCCCTGCTCAGCAGGAAGCCTGCTTCTCCCTCTCTCACTCCCCCTGCTTGTGTTCCCTCTCTTGCTGTGTCTCTCTCTGTCAAATAAATAAATAAAATCTTAAAAAAAAATAAAATAAAAAATTAAAAAAATCTGCTAACAGTCATTCCCATTTAGAATGGAAATATATTGCCATCTAGAAATCAGTTAACAATCTCTCATAAATGTTAGAACATTGACAGTGATTAAAGGCGCAGTTCAGAGTATCATAAATACTACTTAACTCTCGAGTGCATTATTTCATTTTTCTGGTTGTGATTAATGTTTCTTGGTGGAAGAGTTGCTTAAAGAAATCTGGCTTCTCGGGATAGAGTATGTGCAGAGATATCGGCCGGCCATTTTTGAAGGCTCTTTCAGTTTGGTCTTTAGAGACAGACAGAGTTTGGAAAAGATGAATAGCCTGCTTCACAAAAACAAGGCTATAACAATTTATCCTAAGAGTTTTTTGAGGATACTGAGAAGCCAGCCTACTGTGCTAATTACTTAAAATTCTATTTTAGTTATTTATACTTACAACCTAGAATTATCTTTAGACTTGCACATGCGTGTTTTGCGGGGGGTGGGGGGAAGGTGAATATAGATACTTGGACGTTTTGCAGCCTGTGACCAGCATATGGCTTTTAATTAATCCACTAAAACCTACAGGCGAATTTCTTTCTCCTTCCCTGGTGGAATGGTTCTGTTGGATCTCCCGGTGACCTTCAGTGGCCAGCCTTGTAGAACCGACTGTTGAGGTACAGAGCTGGAAGGGATCACAGAGATCACGGACCAATCTCCCCGAGCAGAATATCCTTTTTTTGTGAGGCGCTAGGGTCACATCAGTGCTTAGACACAGTTTTAGTCCACGCTGTCCACTGCCGTCCTCCTTGTTACTGAGGATACTCAAATCAGGAAGACTTTTTCAACTTGGTTACGCACCCGGGATAAATCCGTGCAGTCACACCCAAGGGACAGTCAACCAGCCAATTAAAAGGGGCACTTGGGGAAGGGTGTTTATCTTAAGAGGTGGCATTGAGAACATTTTATCCTTTTGTGGGTCCAAGAGAAACAAGTTCTTTGGGGTGGTGTCCTTGGGTTCATTTTTATCACAAAGATTGGGTGTCATCCCAGTGAAAAATGAAATGAGGTGGGGACACGTGTAATGGCTTCTTTGGAAGTTAGGCAGCCTGCTCTTGCTTCATGGAGTTGGCTCCAGTGATTTCCTAAATCTCAGTGTGGTCTTTCAGTCTGAGAATGAAGCCCATAGGATCTTGGGAACCTGAGGGTTGGGGACTGGAATGTTAATGGAAAAAATGTAAACTGGGGTTTGGGAGGGTGATCATTATCAACAAGCATTTGTATTTCTGCCAGACGCTGATAGGCTTTTATTAGCGATTATTGGTAACTGCTTCTCCTGTTCCCATTCTAAGGGTAAATAAATCAAGGGATGCACAGGACATAGGACTCATCCAGGGTCAGAATAGATTTGGAGCTGGGCTCTTTGGGCCACCTCAGCTGTTGTCTCATTTACTCCTTAAGTTTTATAACTCCTTTGTTAAACAGACAAGCTGAGTGGCTCCTCAGGAGTCAGTTTTAACTGGTGAATATAGTTCATTAGCAGTTTCTTCTCCGGTTCTGGTTTCCCTAATAACCGAGGGGAAAATGATTAGAAATTTAGTCCACGAGGTAAAATGCCTCTCTGAATGTCTGCAGTCTTTAGTATCATTTAATTCATCATTTTCATTCAACAGATCTTCATTCTTGCTTGGTGATGGCACTGTTAACGAGTTCATTACATTTCAGT